TGAGGATGCGAGGACCCCGGGTTGTCTCACTCGCCGGGCCTGGGCTCTGGGTTTATTCAAGATCCCGCGGCCTGGGTTGTCTCACTCACTCGCGGGGCCTGCACTCCTGGTCTGTTCAGGATCCCGGCCTGGGTCATCTCACTCACTCCCCGGGCCTGTGCTCTGGGTCTATTCAGGATCCAGAAGGCCTTCGGTCGTCTCACTCACTAGCCCGGCCTGCGCTCTGGGTCTATTCAGGATCCCGTGGCCCCGGTTGTCTCACTCACTCGCCAGGCCTGCGCTCTCCAGACTTTCTTTAAGTACAAATAAATCAGTAAGATGGATCCTTGAGTCTCACTGCCTACTTACTGTTCAGAAATTCTAGGAGTAGCATTTATGATCAGCTTTTCAAAACAGTACCTTCAGTAACCCTTAAATATCCCAAAGTCAAGAAGCAAGAAGAAAGGCCCTTACTCCAGAAGGAGGCTTCCAGAGAGTCTGGAACTGGCCTCTGACTCATCCCTCGGTGATCTTCCTGCTAGAGGGGCTCCTTGGGACTCTGGCTCCACAGCCCTGGGAGTGCAGAAGATGCAGTTCTTCCAGCTGGAGCAGAAAAGAAATCAAATCTCAAATTTCCCACCCCTCCTCTGGTTTCCACAGCTTGGTTTCATGGTCTCTCCTTCCATCGCCTTCACCTTGACTATGGGGTGCAACTTGTGCACAACTGTTCAGTTGTGTCATCTCAGGTTGACATCGGTCCTTCAGGGAATGTTGGTAAAAAAGAACACTTCTGTTGAAAAATTGCCTAAGAAACATGATCCCTAGAACTAAACACTGAAAGTACAGCTTGTCCTAGAGGCTGGCTTGTGGGAGTGACAGGTGGGGACTGGGCTGAGCCAGCGATGCCTGAATAGCGCCAAGGGCTTGTTCCTCCAAGCTTCTCGGCTTTCCTGCAACAATCTCAGTGTTTGAACATGTGGAGACTCAGTGTCTGCACACGGACAGATTCTGGATTCATCCTAACCTGACGGGAGCTCAGCTTGCAGTGGTGTCCTAGGTTCTGGCCAAGAAGTGGGAGCAATTTCAAGGTCAGGGATGGAGTGCTGTCTCCTCCAGGCCATGTGTATTGTTAGTGATCAGGGAAGTCCTGCCCAGAGTCTGCTAAGTAGATCTGAATGGGTGAAGCATTGAGATTCTCAGAATTCAGTGCTGGCCCCAAAGTTAATAATTGGGCTTATATTTCACAGGAATGCAAGGAGATTGGAAGCAGAAGGTCTGCCTTAGTTTATGCTCATAGATCTTTTTTTCCTTGCTTCCCTGAGTGCAGCCAAAGATTGATGTATGGAAAACAAATTTAAATATCAAATTCATATTTCTCATTTTGACCTTTAATTAAAGGACTCTATGATAAGTCATTATTAAGTTATATCTCCACAGCCAAAATAATGCACACAGAAAGGGGCGCATGGAAAAAAAAATAATGCACACAGCTGGGAAATAAAACCAAAGCAGAAAACTAGCACAGTTCCTGCTTCGCAGATCCTATGCATTCATGCCATGCCCTCTCTGCTCTTCCTCTTTATTTGATATCAGTTCAATAACTCACACATGTTCGTTAAACAAATGGCTCAATAAATCACTGATCTGAGTTTCCTGTGGATTATTTTCAGGCATGAGAAATCAATTGTTCAAGCATCAGTCAATGGTTTAGCCGGAGATTTCTCACATTTAGGCTAGAAAGTGGCCAAGGAAATCACAAATGCAGATGGAGTCCCAGGCTGGGACTCATGGTCAGCAGATCTGTAATGAACTATGCAGCATGGAATGTCCACTCAAGAGTGCCCTGGGGAAGAACAATGCTGCCAGGGAGGAACAGGAATGAGAAATGGGCAGAATGCAGGTCAGTGGCAACTCACCTGCCTTCCTCTGGGCTCTGGAGCTGAAATGACACTTAATAATCTCCTGGAGTTTGGCTGAGACAGGCAAGAGATTGAGAAAGGATGACTCTGGAAGGGAGTAACCCAGGACAGAGTGGCTTTCTGCAGCTGAGGCAGTCTCCATAGGGGCAGGCACTGTCGCCCTCTCAGTGCCTGAGACAAGTGTGCTTTAGTGAAGGGGGTCTGCCTGGGTCTCTTTATGTCCAATGTGAATGGTGCTGCATGTGCCACTAACATACTCATGTAAGGAAAATGAGTGGTACCATTTCAGGAATCTCTTTCTGTCTCTGTCTCTCTCTGTCTCTCTGTCTCTGTGTCTGTCTGTCTATCTCTCTATCTCCAGATCTTTTTTTAGTCTCTTTCCCTCCTTCTTCCATGGTCATTCTCCATCTCCTGCTTCTTCTTCTCTATCTCTTGATTAGGAGAATGCAGAACTTACCTTGTCTGCATTAGCAATCAGTGGCTTCACCCACATTGCATCCTGGCTAGCAATTTGAGTTTTGAGCACCAACACATACTTCTGCACTCATTTTTATGGCCTCAGGGGTATACAGAGTACCAGTGCCTGCCTGTGACAAAAGCTATCACCCTTTCTGTGTGTCTTGGCCTCTTTCTATAAAAAGAGAACCCTGTATTTGAAGTAATGCAGAAAGCAAGAAACCATGTTCTGTCCTTGGTGCTTAAATTCTCCATTTCCCTTGAAATAGATCTTGCACTTGTCAAAGTTCTTTTGAGAATCTCTCTTCATATGCTGCCTTGTTCCCAGTCTTTGGCCCTTCAGAAAAACAGCTGGTTACTTCCTAAGGGCCCTGAGCTAAGCTCAGATCTATGAATGTTTCAAGGCATGCCAATGAATGTCCTTTACTTCCCAAGACTTGTAGATCTGGGAGGAATGGATCTCCGGGTAGAGTGGCCTTGGCTCCTCCATTGTAGTGTTAGCAATGACAGCTGCTTTGTATTTACTGCTCACATTCAGCTGAAACTCATCGGAAATCAGATCTGATGGGGGCCTTAGTTCTAATGACTACGCGAACTTCATCCGATCAGATTTCCAGTTAGTCAGGCTGGTTGCTGAGCCCTTTGTCCTCTTGTTTCCTTTAGACCAATTTGGGATGGTGGTGCTTCATGAATAATCCATGAACATTACCAGCTGCATGCATAAAGGCATTTTTACTGAGTCTTTGCCATGGAATTTTAGATGGTTCTGATGTAATTCATAAGGAATCAGGAAGAGCCAGACCCTGATTTAAGTATCTGGAGACCTCTGAGAAGCCTTTCAAGTTTCCAAAGGGAAAGCACAGTATTAACTTATATCTCAGTGATATAATAGGGACATTTTCCCTGGGGAGTCTTTAATGTCACAGCTTGATTGAATGTCAGGGACAAAAAGTACATGGAAATGAAGATACTTCTTGAATTATTTGGAATAAACTTATATTTCAGTTTCTAGGGTACTTTTGGTTTTTGTTCTTGTCTTAATCACCAAGTGGTGTGGGTTGAAACAAAAACCATAATTAAATTGAACCCTGTTAGGAAGAAAGATTGGGCAACTCTTTGCTTAAACAGAAGCAGGTGGTATTGGAATGCTTGGTTGAAGCAAGCTGTGAGGAGGGAATGCAAATTTTTTTCCCTTCAAAAGGAGTTTAAATATTTGTGCTCTTTGGTACCAGGCTGTGATTAAGATTTTATTCACTTGTGTGTGTTTCAGAAAAATTACTGGTATGATGGAATTGCAGTATACTTTTAACTACAGACTGACTTCTTTCTTTCTTTCTTTTTCTTTTCTTTTTTTTTTTGCAGTGACAGGGTGCTGGTGTGTGTATTTCTGCGTGTGTGTGTGTGTGTGTGTGTGTGTGTGTGTGTATTCATTGCAAATGTTGCTTTGATTGCAGATATTTCATTTCAGTCAGATGTGATTTCATTTATACCCATTTAAGAGCTGATCTGTGGTTTCACAAATGGAATGGAGCTTGGCTGGGAGCAGCAGGTTGCTGGGATGGGAAAGCTGAAAGAGCAAAAGGGCAGGTATCTTGCTCACCCAGTTTTGCTTCTTGAGACCATGTGTTTGGTTAGTAGGACTCTAAGGGTAGAGGAAGGTGTCTTCAGGCACAGGGAATTAGGTGAGGCTTGATTGTGTAAAATGCTAATTTTCCTACAAATATTGTTGCCATATTAAAACATAGGAGGCCCAGTTCAATTTGAATTTCAGATTAATGATAGATAATTTTTTAATTAAAAGTATGTCCCATGCAATATTTAGAGCTAAAATGTATTGATTGATCACCTGAAATTCAAATCTAACTGGGTGACTGGCATTTTTATTTGCTAAAGCTGGCATTCCTACCTCCAGAAAGAGCAATTCTCCCTCTCATTGAAAGTGAAATTTCCACTACTTAAAGTCAAATCATTTTGCTGCTATCACTGAAAATTTTTTTTTAAGAAAAGACATTACTTTTTGGGGAAAATCTGGGTTTGCACCAAAACTTAGTAGAAGGTACAGCATCTGTGTGCTTCCCACCCCACACTTGGCCTCCCGCACTGTCAGCATCTGCAGCAGTGTGACAGGTTTGCTGAACTTATCCCATAGGGGTACAGTGCTGTTGCTTAGGTCCACTGCTTAGGGCTTACTCTTGATACTGTGCCTTCTCTGTGTTTTCACAAATGTATCTCCCAGGATAGTAGCACACAGAATAGTTTCTAGAAATCTTCTGTTCTACCCATCCATTTTTCTTCTCCCCAAAACCTCAAAATCACTAAACTTTTTATTTTCAAAGAGAGTATAAATTAGAATTAAAACAGAAAAATTTGCAAGTGATATAGAATTTAACTTAACAAAGTAATATGAATTTCACAGTATTTGTTGTAATACAGTGTTGTCTTCCAACTAGTTATTCATATTACCAGATATATGCATGTATAATTGGAAGAAGAAAGAAAAAAAGAAAGAAATGTGTAAGAAATTAAGAAGGGAAAAGTGCAAACAGTTGAAAAAAGGAGATGAAACAAATTAAAGTATTAACTGTTTCTTTCCATAGACCAGCAGAAAGGCACTGTACAGTTGTCCAAACTATCTGCTTACATACATAGATAAATTTCTTTCTCTCACTCCCATCCTTCTCCTCAACTCAGTAACTCTTTCCTTTTGAATAAGTTCATTCCCTTTTCCTAGTGTCTATTGTTCCCTTCAGATTCCATTTTTCTCTTTCAGGTTCTCACACTGAGACAATACGATGTTTGCATATGCAGGTCTGATTAATTTCACTTAAGAGTATATACTCTAGTTGCATCATTTTCTGACAGAAGAGTCAAATTTAAACTGTTTTATAGCTGAACAATACTCTATTGTGTAAAAAATACTACATGTTTACCCATTCTTCAGTTGATGGGCATCTGGGTTGTTTCTAGGATTTAGCTATGACAAATTGTGCTGCTATAAATATGGGTGCACATATATTGATGTGGTATGAGGTTTTCAGTTCCTCTAGAAAAATACTCAGGAGGGGAATAGATAGCTTGAATGGGCTTTCTAGTCCTAGCTTTGGAAGGAATGTTCACACTGATTTCCACAGTGGTTGTACCGGTCTGCACTCCCACAAACAGTGCAGAAGGGTTCCTTTTTCTCAACAGCCTCTCCAGAATTTGTTGTCAGTTGACTTGTTGACATTAGCCATTCTTTTTCAGGGTGAGATGGAATCTCAGTGTTGTTTTAACTTGCGTTTCTCAAATGACCAAAGATGTTGAACTTTTTAAAACATATTTACTGGTCATTTGTACTTCTTCCTCTGAGAAGTGTATATTCATCTCAGATATCCA